TCTTCTGCACATGTCTCTCATATATTTGTCACATAAGTTAAGAAGAGCTTCCCAGAAGGGAGAGTGCTTATGAAAAAGTAAAAGGATAAATGCACCATTAATATTACTAGACATTACCTAAATACCCTTTCCACTGGAATTGTATAATTTTCCATGACTATCAACAAAAATGCTGATTTTACCACAGATTCAACATTTTCTATTGCCAACCTTTTGAAGATCTGGGATTTGGTATATTAGTGAACTTCTAATTTGTATTTCTCTTATTATGAGCAAACAGAACATTTATTAATGTAATTTGGTGACATCTGCATTTCTTTTATAAATTGTTGCCATTTATTTCCATCTATATTTAACCAAAGTTATCAATTGTTTCCCTTATTATTTATGCATTTTAAAAATTGTTATGAAATGTATCCCTATGCTCATGTTATAGAGAGAAGCACTGATATTTTCTTCTAGAACCTTTATGTTCTCACATTTACATAGAAATTTATGATGAATTTGAAAATTTTTTTTCATTTGTTATGTTACAAAGGAATACAACCTTATCTTCTTTTATTAATAGACTATCCATTTATATTATCTGCTCTGGCTTTAGAAAGAAGCCACATTTAAATATACAATTATTTTTCTGACTTTTTTGTTTCTTTTATTTTTCCTTATTTTATTTTATTTTTTTTCTTTTTCCATTTTTTTTATGGTTTCAGGAGCGGAATTTACTGATTCATCACTTAACATATAACACCCAGTACTCAATCCTATTTAATGCCCATCACCCATTTAGCCCATCCCTCCACCCAATACCCCTCCAGCAACCCTCGCTTTGTTCTCTGTTTTTAAGAGTCTCTTATGGTTTGCCTCCCTCTCTGTTTTTATCTTATTTTTCCTTCCCTTCTCCTTTGTTCATCTGCTTTGTTTCTTAAATTCTACATATGAGTTAAATCATATGATATTTCTCTTTCTCTGACTGAATTATTTTGCCACATCGATTTTTCAGGCTAGAAATTACACTGTTTAATTATGATGTCTTTATATATTTTATAATGTCAAATGGGTTAGCCATCCTCCATTTCTTCTCCCCAGTTCATTTCCAGATCAGAATTTTCATGGTTGTCTTCGCACATTTCTAGTGCATGAAATTCATGCTTCTTCTATTATCTCTGTATCATCTACCTGTCATCATCTCTAATATAAAAAAAGCCTTTTCTTCCATCTTAGATTTTATCCTTTTTTGGTAGTATACATGAAGACTTATTCTTTTTTAACTTTATAAGCTGCTATTTTATCAAATTATCTTAATTTTATAATAGTTTTCCCCATGGGTTCCTTTGGGCTTTTCAGATGTATTATCCTATCCTGCTAGATCAGACACAGCATTTCCTCTACCACTCCAATTCCTGTGCTTCTAATTCTTTTCTGTTTTCTAACTACATTGCTTAATGTCTACAGCCTATATTCTGGGGGGTTAGTATTTTTATATTTTTCTGACTTTAGCAGAAAACCCTTTTCTATTTCCATATTAAGTAAGAGGCTGATTTGGTCTAAGGTACATATCTGATTATGTTAAGTATCCTTATGATTCTATTGTACTGAGGGTTTTTAAATATAAAAGGGTAATGAATTTTGGCAAATATGTTTCCTAAAGTTACAGAAATGATTATATAATATTCATTCAACAAGCTCAAATGTATTAATTCAATGAATAGCATTAATGGATTTCCTAATATGAAACTGTATTCATCTCTGAAATAAACACCTCTTGAAAATGCTGCTTAATTGGCCATACTTTATTAGGGATATTTACATTAATAATAATAAGTAAGATTGATCTATAGTTTTCTTTTTTGCGTCACTTATCTTTGATATATTTAGGAACTCATTGGTCCAATGTATAGGTGGGAGAGGAGCAGAAGAAGAGAGAGAGAGAATCTTAAGCAGCCTTCATGACCTGTACCAGCCCTGAGCCAGACATAGGGCTTGATCTCATGACCTTGGAATCATGACCTGAGCCAAAATCAGATGGTTAACCAATTGACCAACCCTACTGCCCTTTTTCTAGAGTTTTAAAAATTGACCTTGTACTTTACAAGGACTGTTAAATCTGTTTCCTTCCTCCATTTTTGTCTGAACACTTCTCTCCCTTTGCTTCTCAGGTCCCTGACCTTCTCAATTGAGATTGTACTACCCCCAAACTTTTCTCAGTACAGGCTTTCAATAAAATAGAGCCACAGTAATGGAATGTATATGATGATATATATGTGATTATGTGATTATGTTGAATGAAATTGTAGGCTGGTCTTGGAGTTTCTCTCCTCCTTGGTGCCCCACATAAGCCACACCCCATTTCTCTTATTGTTAAAATGTTACATCACCATAGCACAATCCATCACAAGTAATACCAATATTGGCCCATGGCAATTAACTAAACTCCACACTTTATTCATGTTTTATTACTTTTTCCTTCAAGTCCTTTTTCTGATCTATGATATTATATAGGACCCCACATTATGTTTAGTCACCATGTCTTCTTAGCCTTCTCTGGACTGTGAAATTTCTCATATTTTTCTTGGTTTATGACCTTTAAAGTATTGAAGAATATTGGTCAGTTATTTTGTAGTATGTCTTTTCATTGAGGTTCCTCAATGTTTTTCTTATGATCAGACTGGGGTGATGAGTTTTAAGAGGAGGATATGATCATATCATATTAAAGGTATCTCATCAGACAGGCTTATCCCTGGTTATGGTAACTGTGCTCAATGGGCCAAGTATTGTTTGCCGTGTTTCTCTACTGTAAAATGACTGTTCCCTCTTTCATTCTCTAATCTTCGAAATAAGTCACTCAGCACAACTCACACTGAAGAGGTAGAAACTTAAGCTCTACCTCCCTATGAAGGAAGTATTTTCATAAATTATTTGGTATTCTTCTCTATAGGAGGTTTGTCTCTTGTCCTTTATTTTAAAAATAGTATTCAATCGTAATAATTTCAGTATTGACTCCTGGGTATTCACTTCTTACTTTGAGCAGTAACGCAATACTACATTGGATATTTTGTTGCACAAAATATCCCAGCTTTGTCCACTGGGAGCTCTTTCAGGTTATCTCTGTGTCCCTTTGACATGTCCCAATCCATTATGATTTTTAGTTCCTGCTTATTTATTTTAAGACACGACAAGATGACTGAGGCTCACTTGGGTATTCCCTGGCCCATCCCTGACACAGCTTTTTCTCCAAGGACCCCTGGTTCCTTTTATTGTCAAATTGTATTGAAACTAAGATGTGGAGACTAGGTTTGCTCATTCTTACTGAGTGTCATCGCTTCTATGTCCTCTCAGTGGACAGAGGTAGGAAATACATGTAGATATTAACTTATGTACACATATACATATATAGTTATTTCTGTATCTATATGGCTGTTTATATTAAGCTAAACATAAAGTCATATTGATATCTTTGACTTCAGTGTGTTATGACCTTGTTAATTGTAGCCTTTTCCTTTGCCTATCTGCTCCTCTGTCTCCAAAAGCGAGAAGCCTGCCTTCTACCATTTACCATCCACCTACTTAATTCTAGTATCCATGTATGGCAGTGTCAGAATTGTTAACTCATACCCACATGAGAAACAACTCTGCCAATAGAAAACAGAGTTTATATGTAGTGTCTTTTGTCTTTAGTCTTAGAGTCTGCAGTCAAAACACTGCTTTCCAAAGTTACTCAAGTCAGAAATCTTGTTCCTCCCCCACAGTAATGGACGCTGCGTTAAGATGCTAAGCTTGTAGTAATTTGTTACACAACAAGAGAAAACAGATAGATCTTTATTCCTGAAAACTTTTTGTTGGCTAGTTTTGAGATTCATGGGTCCCAGACCACTTCATAATCAATGAAACCTACTGCAACTTCCTTGCCTCTACTCCACATTGCAAGTTGTGAAGCCCATCTCCTACTTGAGCTGCTGTTCTAACCAGTCAACTGGGCCTCCATGCAACTGTTGTTGAATGTGTGGTCCACCAGCTCTTGATGGTCTCTCTTTACCTAATAATACTGGCAATTAAGGAAATACTTTCCCACATGCATATGCTGTTAAATTTCTGTGGGTTTGATTTTTTTCCTATTTCTCTGTTCTATAGGTGTTTAAGGAGGTTCCAAAAATATACTCATATCTTGGTCACCTTTCCATATTTTTGGTTGTTTTTTCCATCAAAAATTTTATTTATTTATTTATTTATTTATTTATTATTTATTTTTACTTATATGTTAAGTTAAATTGAAATAAATTTTTTTTTTAAAAAAAGGAAATATGGAAAGACCAAATCTGTTCCTATACATTAAACTCCTTCGGATTAATAGGTTGGCTGCAGAAATTCTTGTCAGGGCATTGCTCAGAGTGTCATATCTGTTTTTTACTATTTGCTGTAGAGGAAGGCAAGTTAGTATGACTACCCATTCTTTCATTCTTTCATTTCGTTTTTTGCCAACTCAACTGTGCCAGTGTGCTAGAAATGGATAAATCTTAACATAATTTTGGTATATCAAGAAATATATAAATAATTTTTTTAGAGTTAAAGAAGTATTTACTTATTTATTTAGGAGTGTGACCATTGATTCTCTCTCCAACGTGTTCTTTTCATAGAATGAAAACAGAAGGAGTCTTTAAACTCTTCTTTTCTTATGTAAATGGGTAACTTTCAAATTAGAGTCTAAGTTGAAAATTTTTTCTTGCCATGTCACAGAAAATAGCTGCTAGGTGACTTTGTATGTAATACTATTAAGTGTCCTTCAGCATTACTGACAATATTTGTTGTCCACTGCTGGGCTTACAAGGGACTTTTGTCATCAGCATGATGATGAGAAATAATGGAGGCCCACAAAAGATTCTAAATATTGCAGTTAATTACAGAGACGGAATTAGAATTAGGAACTTCAGCTTAGTAACATAACTACACTCAGCACATTCTGCTGCCTCTCTTACATCATGCTGAAGTTTCTTTTTTCCAGTGAGGAATAGGATTGCTGCCTTCAAGAAGCATCCAGTTGTTTCAGGAAAATAAGTAAGTATTCCAGAGAGTAGAATTTCACAAGCAAAGGCAAATGAATGTGGAAATCTGAGCATTTTGTTATTCTGCTTATGTAATATTTTGATCATTTTTTACTATGATGAATTAACTTAATGCCTAGATCAGTAATTCTTATTCTTATGTATGGATCATTTTAAGATCTTTTTTAACATTCTGGTGCATTAAATTTTAAGTGATATCTAAGAGTTTGTATTTCTAATTTCTAGCAAGCCCTCAGGTGATGCTACTTTGAATAGCAAGGGCCTAGAAGACTTATTAAGGATCCAAGTAGCTGTGTATCTCCTAATTTTAAACAGATACACACACACACACACACACAAACTCTATATACATATATAGAGAGAGATAGAGAGAGACAGAGAGATAGAGTGAGACATATTTTCATGAGATTTAATAGGATTTATGTCCCAAAAATGTTAAGAACCATCAGTCTACAAGATAGAGTTCAAATTCCCTAGGATAAAATGTAAATTCCTACATAACACTCCTCATTGTATTTTCCTTCAGTGTCCTTTATGCAGTCTAGTTATGCTCGAAACTTATCATAAGGTTTAAAATTGTATATGATTCTTAATAGTTCCCACTTCAAGTAGAATTAGAATCTCCTTTTGTTCTCATAAATCACTTTCATATACCTGCATTCTTTCTTCAGCTAACACTTATTATAAACTTTATTTGTATATTATATTTTGTGCCAAATCTTAGGGTTATAAAAATATGCAATAGTTTCTACCTGTGGCGTTACTGTAATTATTTGTTAGAAGATACTTTATCTAGTAAAGTGTTCTCCTTGAACATTTGCCAAGTGTTGGTTGGTTAAATAAATAGGAAAGAAAGAAAGAAAGAAAGAAAGAAAGAAAGAAAGAAAGAAAGAAAGAAAGAAAGAAAGAAAGAAAGAAAGAAAGAAAGAAGAGAAAGGTAGGTGAAGGGAGGAAAGGGGAGCAGAGAGAAGGAGAGAAGAAGGAAGAAGGGAAAAAAAGAAAGAGAGAGAAGGGAGAAAGAAAAGGGGGAAGAGAGGAAGGAAGGTGTTGAGGTGAAAAGACCCAGCATTGCAGGTGTGAAAGGGCAAGGTTGGAAAGCCTGAGGACTATGAGCCATAGTGCCAGGAGTTAGGAAGACCACACCCTGTTGCTACTGCAGCTATGATGTATGCAAGATCATGAGATATGTTATTTTAATATACTGTTTTGAGAGTGATGATCCATAGAATCAGAAATTAATCTAAGGAAAAATCTTATGGGGAACCATTATAACATTGTGTTTTTTCCCTGTGACACACATTCCCTGTTAATAGTACGAGAACTATTTAGAATAAATAGTTTAGATCTTTTTCCAAATTTCTGGTTTAGAAAGATCAGAGGATAATCCAATAGGATAGACAGGTAGTAGACAAGAAAACCCATTTTCAAGATGGTTGTGGGAGATTGCCCCTCATTTATTGGTACAAAGCATTATTTGGTTTTCTCAAAACATCTGCTCTCTAGGCTTATAGGGCATCAGACAGAATTCACAAATATTGGCCTACAATGTGTAAGGGTTATTTCATGATAGTTGGTATTTGGGGGACTTGTTGCTGCTAGACATACTCCTTTGTCACTGGCATCCTCACACAGCTACGAAAAATAGAGGCGCAGTGGGAGAAGCTGGCAGAAAAATTTACCACAAAACTCTACCCCTGGGATATGTCCTTTTGTTTGAGAATCCCTGTGGCATGTATTGCATGAAAATCAACTAAAAATAAATAATTACTGTACCATACGAAGCCGTGTGAAGAAGTTTGATGAAATGCAGATTGAAATCATTTACCAAGAGCTTACAAAAGAATTCACCACATACATCTCTAGACATCTGAAGTTTCACTTCATGAAAGGGCTGTAGAGAATATTCCTTGTCCACCTCACTGTGTTTAATTCCCTTTTGCTCATTGTGCCAAGGTCTGGCCTCATCAGATGCATGCTATTCCTGGTGAATTGAAGAGAAGTTGTATAGATACCCAGCCATTATTAATCACTGCCTCTATTGTCAAAAACTATTTCCTGATATTTTATCTCATTCTATCTAAAAATTATTCTGATGTATTTATGGTTTGCTCTTCTTTTGTACTACAATTTGGCATATGAAAATGGTGCTCTACAAATCAGAGAGTAGTGAAAGTAATAATTTGTCCACACAAATTAGACTCTGATGTACTACTATTCTCCAATGTCTCTCATATTCGCCTTTGTGTTTCCAACCACTGTGGATTTTTTTTAGATGTGCAAAGAAAATTGCAGCTATTTAAAATAACCTAGAGAGGGAGAACTGTAGGCAATATCCTAACTACCTTAGCCCTTTACATTTCAGCACTCTTGTTGCCAAGGAAACCACTTGGGACTTTAGGGAAATTTGTGGATATTTAAAATGGATTGTGCCTGTACACAGATAGACACTTGCACAATTCACATTGCAGAATACAAAGCTTCCAGTCTTGCAATATGAAGCCTGGAATTTCAAGGGCTGAAGATGTGAAATAACAAAATGCAAAGACTTATTCACTTATATTCCAAAGAATGTGCTGTATATAGTATTTTAGATTACTATTAGGCTAGGCTGTTTAAAAAAAAAGTAAAATCTAGCCAGAAGAGTAAAGAGTGCAATATAAACCTTATAAACATTACATTTCCATTTGTATTTGTGATTTGCAAGTTCAACACTGCATCGGCATTTTAACAATTAATTCCCAAGATATATTTCAGTTTTTAAAATCTATGAAGGAAACCAAATGCATTCTTTACTGGCGCCCTGTTGGAAACTGGCTGAACTTTACAGAAATGTGGACATGAATCTTTCTTCACCATACTGTGAGCAAAGTGCAGAGATTCGAGAAGGATAAAGGTAGGCTAACATATCAAAACCCCCAAACTAGTTTTTCAGCTTCACTGTGTTTGTGTCTGGCCTCTTATTTTTTATTCTTTTATAAATTGCTGCTGAAGATGTGCTGTTTCTAGTGAGACAACCAGCTGCAGAGTAGAAAGCAGATCTACAAATTGACTTGCAAATATTACCTTCACATATTCTCATGGTTTCATTTTGAACCTATACTCAGTTTCTTACTCACCCCAGACATGCAGGTTGAATATTACATACCCTCCGTATGTGCTCATCATAGGGGATATTGGGCTTCACCTTGTGTATTTAAGGAATACCACGGTCCCCGTCTATGCATCTTTTTAAAAATATTTATTTATTTTTGAGATAGCACAAGTGGGGGAGAGGCAGAAAGAGAGGAACAGAGGAATCCAAGCACGTTCTGCACTGTCAGCACAGAGTCCAATGTGGGGCTCAAACCCACGGGCTGTGAGATCATGATCTGAGGTGAAGTTGGATGCTCAAGGAACTGAGCCACCCAGGTGCCCCCCACCAATGCATCTTAATGGACTCTAGAACATCTGTGCAACAGGTCTGCAAAGCAGTAAATATCTGCCCAGACAATGTATGTGCTTTGTTTTCACAAAGATTTAACTGGGGTTTGGTGACGTAGAAGCTTCCGCCTTCCATTTCCAGAGTGTGAATAATGAAAATCCGTGAGGTCTGAAGTAAAAGATAAGATGCAACTCAAAAATAAACAGTGTGTAAACCTCCTAATAATTTAATGGTATGAGGTGTTGCAATTTCCATCACTTTTATCCTTGGACATGTGTTTCCAATGAAAAAGTAGACAACTATATATACATCGCTTTTAAATACTAGCTGGAGATTCATAATGAGCCCAAGTGGCTAACCACTATTCTGTTCCAAATCCCTTCTAAGGTAGTTAAAATGATACAAAAATTAGGGAAATGATGCACCCATCCCAGAAGTTAATAGAAGGTATTATTTAACTGAAAATAACACAGAGGAATTCAGCTAGATATTTTCTAGGTATAGTTCAATTGAAAAAAATTTTAATGAGTAAAAGCAGAATGACAATGCAGAAAGACAAGAGATAATTATTTGGACGCAGCAGAAGTAGCTTAATTGATAGGGGCACAGTGCTAGAGACAAAGTTGGCCTATGGGAAATGCAGAGAGCCTTGAGATCTTTTTTCTCTTTTTCTCCAGGACAAAGAACATTAGAAAGAAATTCCCAGGGGATGCCTAGGACACCTCCAAATAAAAAAGATTACTGGGCATCAACAGCTGCCCCCCACCCACATGACGGGCATTTCACTGCATTCGTGGGTTTACCACCAGGTACAACAGGCACCGACATCACTTGGTCAGTGAGAAAGGAAAGGTTAGTATACCCCCTCAATTTTGGAAAAAATGTTGGTCATTGAGAATATCTCATCATTCAAGTTTGGGTAAAAACAACACCATAGCACATAGCTTATAAAAAGATTGTAGCTAAGAGGAGGTGAGCATAGCACCTCAAAATCAGAGAATGAAACTACTTTCGAAGTCAAATAAATACTACAGAAGAAGTAAGTAGATTTTAGAAAGTGTCTGCTTTGTCTTTCAGTAAAAAGAGAAAGAAATGAACACCATGAAACAAGAGATGAAAGATGAGAAGGATAAGACAATAGACAGAGATAGAAAAATGAGCAAGCTGGGAGGCAGACAGCAGAGCACAAGGAGCTGAAGGAGATAAGGGAAAAAATGAAAGGAAATGAAAGATACAATAACTAATTTTAAAACTGCTTTGAAAGCAGTAAAGAATCCATACTGTAAAAACTGAATCAAGGATGTGAATGCTAAAATTTTGAGCTGCTTAAAGTATTTATTCTTTGGCAACAATGAATTGCTCACAGTTTCACTAAATTTTAAAAATCACAAATACAAGGTTAACCTGGGGGGGGGAATGAGGATTGGAAATATACCAGAAGTTGATATATTTTTAAAAATCTAATAAGTATATGTAAAAAGAATCACCTGATTAAAAACAACAGGAAAGTTCGATTCTAAACTCCTAAACAGAATTAAGCTCCTAAACAGAATGAAGTAAACGAGAAAGAACATTAGACACATAAATTTTAAAAGCTCAAAATGAGGAAGGGGACATTAACAGATAGATAGGAAAATAAGAATGGAATGCCTAAGCCAATAATTTTGAAAAGCTTACTGAAATACATAATGTTCTAGGAAATACATTAACTAAAAAAAAAATTCCCCAAAGTTCAATGATTTTAAAAGGACAGTTATCACAGAACATACTTAAGAATCAATATTTCAGATTTCCTAAGGAGAGTTTTCAGATTCATTTCGTATTATAATTTCTTTCAAATTTACGAGAAACAAATAATTGTCTCCTAGCAATAGTTCCAGGGCATAGGGAAAGAAGAAAGCCATGTTAATTTCCTTCTAGAAGATAACATAGCCCGTCAGAAAATCCTGACATAGAAACTAAAGATAGAACTCATTTAAGACTTAAAAACAAAAAAGAATATTGTTAATGAAATACTACCAACACAAAACCAGAATGTTATTAATCAAATAATAAAAACATATCTAGGTACAGGGTCTGTTCTAGTAAGATTATGAAGAATCAGTTTTAGGAAACCCTATTAAAGTGTAGTCATATATAAGAAGCAACAAAAATTATATAATCATCATAGTTGCTGAAAAGATATTTAATAATATTAAATATTCATTCCTGGAATAAAAGTGGTTTCAGCTAACAAAAACCAAAATCTTCCTTAATATAAAAATTATATAAAACCTTAATGGTGCAGCGAAGTCCCTTCTCCCCCAAAATATCCAGACTCAGTTGAATCCTAGTTAGAATCCCTACAAATGTGTAACAGTATGCATGCCTGCGCGCGTGTGCTTGTGTGTGTGTGTGTGTGTGTGTGTGCGCGCGCGCGCGCACGCGCACACATGCAGAAATGGACAAACGGATACTAAGGTGTATATGAACCAGCCAATGTGGGAGAATGAAGTTTGTGATTTTATATTAATGGGATCCAAACTTACATAAATTTATAGTAAAAAAGATACTGTGGTATTTGCAAAAAGATAGACAAATAAAATAAGACAATGGAATGTGGAGTCCAGAAGGTGGGGGAAGAATGGTCCAAGTCAAAAAGGAGTTAGGAGCCAAAGCTTCTAGACTTTGCCTTTACTCTGAATGAGACTGAAAGTCAGTAGAGTACTCTGAATATAGTGACAAAATCTTACTCATATTTTAAAATGATTACTCTGATTGTTGTGCTAAGAACAATGGTATGAAAGAGATGAGGCAAAGGAGAATGGTTTGAAGGGTAATATAGGAGTGCTTGGGTGGTTCAGTGGTTAAGTGACCAACTTTGGCTCAGGTCATGATCTTGTGGTCTATGGGTTCGAGCCCTTCTTCCGGTTCTGTGTTGACAGCTCAGAGCCTGAGCCTGCTTCAGATTCTGTGTCTCCCTCTCTCTCTCTGCCTCTCTCCCACTCATGCTCTGCCTCTTTCTCTCAACAATAAATAAACATTAAAAAATTTTTGATGGATGGCATAATAATTTAAGCAGGGGATTGTGTTGGCCTGTACCATTGGATTTGGTAAGAGGTAGATTCTGAATTCATTTGGAAGGATTTGCTGATGGATTGGGTAATGTGAGAGAGAAATCAAGGGTCACTCCAAAGTTTGGATCTTATGACAGAGGACTAAGCAAATGGTAAATTACTGAACTGGGAAATATTGTGGGAAAAATATTGAGTAAGGAATCAGGAATTCCATTTTAGATAAAATAAGTTTGAAATGTCTATTAGATCTGTCCAAGTGACGATGTCAAATGAGAAGCTATTGGATATGTGAATCTGGAGTTCAAGAGAGATGTATAAAGTAGAAGTCATTTAGTATGTATTTATGTTGAACCTCATGGTAGAGCATCTCACCTAGGGAGTAAGAAATGTGTAGAGTTGTCCCTGGGTCACTTCATAACTGGAGTTAGTACCCATTCTGACAAAAATCACTTCTGCTCATGGAGAACGAAGACTTATAATTGGCCATTGGTTTTGACAATGTGGAGAGCACAGTCGCTCGGACAAAATGTGTCTTGCTGCAGTGATGGGAGCCAAAGTCTAACTTGCATGAGTTTAAGAAAAAAGTAGGTTTGAAAGTAGATCTTATTATTAGATGATATTAATGCATACATTTAATTTTCTGGGTATAAAAAAAGCATGTGGTTCTGTAACAGAATATCCTTGTTCTCGGGTGACATTTGCTGATGCATTAAGGGCACAAAGTCATGATGTCTGCAACTTATATTTAAAATATTCAGGGAAAAAAATACATTCCGTGGCACAGATAAAGCAATGTGACAAAAAGAAAATAAGAGGGAAAAAAAAGAATTTGGGATGACAGCAAGCTTTTCTTTGAAGGAATTTGATGTAAAGCAGTGGAAAGGAAGAAGAGATGGATGGAAAGGGATAGTCAAGAGAAGATCTTTAAATATGAGTGACATAACAACATGTTAATGCCCAGAAATAATCCAGAAAGTGTAAAAACCTGTGCAGCGAGTGGGGTATGGTTGTTAAAGCAACGTAACTAGGGAGGCTAGTTGTAATGGAATTGAGTGCACCAAGAGAGGTATTAGCCTACTTTTTATTTTCTTCTTGAATTTATGTACTTTCTACATTTCCTATGATAAATACATTACACACACACACACATGCACACACACAGACACACACACACACATATATCACATTGTGGTGTCTGACTTAAATCCTATCTTATAACATAAGATTATGTAACTTTGTGTATACTTAATCACCTTCTGTAATACATTTAAAAAGCAGAAGTGGCATTGAGCTTTTTAAAAAATGGAAAAAAAGTAAAAAGATCTAATAGCAAAATATGAAAAAAATGCCAAATAATCCATCATGAAAGTATTTCATGCAAGGTGAAAGCATGTCGACAATGCATTAGATAATGTGCTTTGTGGATAAAGGAGAGACTCAGAGAGCAGAGGTCTGCAAATCCCTAGCCTGTGAGTCACATCCAGCCGTCTGCCTGTTTGTGTAAAGTTTTACAGGAACACTGTTGCCCTCATTCGCTTGTATATTGGTTATGTCCGCTTTCACACTAAAATGGCAGTGGTGAGGACGTACACCCCAGAAAGCCTAAAATACTCTCTATCTGGCACTTTACAGAGAAGAGTTTGTGAATGATAGAATCTTGCTATTCAAAGTGTAGTCTCCAGACTGACAGCATTAGCACCACCTGGCTATGGATTAGAAATTCAGGCTCTCTGGTTCCACTCTAGATTTACTGAGTCAGAATCATTCATATTAACACACTTCCTGGGTGATTCAAATGCTCATTAAAGTTATAGAGGCACTTACGTGGAGTGGATCCTCAGATAGAAAATATATTTTCTTTTTGTGCTCTGGTAAAAACACTTGAGTTCTTTTTTTTTTTTTTTAAATATAATTTAATGTCAAGTTGGCTGACACACAGTGTATGCAGTGTGCTCTTGGTTTTGGGGGTAGATTCCCATGATTCATCGCTTACATATAACACCCAGTGCTCATCCAAACAACTTCCCTCCTCAATTCCCATCACCCATTTCACCCTCTTCCCCATCCCCCCAATCAACCCTTAGTTGGTTCTCTATATTGAAGAGTCTCATGGTTTGCCTCCCTCCCTCTCTGTTTGTAACTACTTTTTCCCCTTCCCTTCCCCCATGGTCTTCTGTTAAGCTTCTCAAGTTTCACATGTGAGTGAAAACATATGATATCTGTCTTTCTCTGACTGACTTATTTCACTTAGCATAATATACTCCAGTTCCATCCACATTGCTGCAAATGGCAGGATTTCATTCTTTCTTGTTGCCAAGTAGTATTCTATTGTATATATAAACCACTTCTTTATCCATTCATTAGTTGATGGGCATTTAGTCCCTTTCCATAATTTGGCTATTGTTGGCAGCACAGCTATAAGCATTGGGGTACATGTGACCTTATGAATCAGCATTCCTGTATCCTTTAGATAAATTCCTAGTAGTGTTCTTGCTGGGCCTTAGGATATTTCTACTTTTAATATTTGGGAGAACATCCACACTGTTTTCCTGAGTGGCGATATCAGTTTGCATTCCCACCAACAGTGCAAGAGGGTTGCCATTTCTCCACATCCAAGAGACCTGAGTTCTTTGTCAGACCTAACCACCAATATTCTTTAAAGTTTTGGTTTATCATCTATTAATAATAGATATGATTTTTTAAACTTATTAATATTCAGTCTGTAACATACTTTGGACCATTGGATGAAAACCTCAACAGATAGATGCCTGGAAGTGATAACTTTCTCAGGGTTGT